AATAAAAAAATAAAAAAAGAAAATGTAAAGGAATAAGGAGGTGAGTTTGACTATAGGGGTTGTGGGAGGGGGCGGGGGGCCATACAATAAAATATAAAAAGCCAAAAGGTTATTGAAGGAAAAAAATGCAGGGAAGATGGCCATTGCTCCCCCGGGGTGTGGGTGTGGGGGTGAGTGGCCTGTTCACACAGTCCCTGGTGGCGAGGGGAAAGTTGGTAAATGAGGTGCGTCTGAGGTGAAGTTATGTAAATTCCTCTTTCGGGATCACAAGACCAGCAGTTACGCCTCCGTGCGGCCGGAGGCAGATTGCGTGATTTCACTTCCTCTGCTGGCCGTGCCGAGCTGCTGCTGAGCTGTGGGCGGCCTGTGCTGTTCAGTGAGCAGGGTCCCAGCCGAGGCGGGCCAGGCGGACGGAGCGTCCCACGCCTCTGAGGGTAGCGAGGCCTCGGCCATTCGCATGCCCTGTATCCTGGGGTGATGATGGTATTTTGAGACTTTCCTGCTGGGGTGAATTCACACCTTTGAAACTTACTTGGCTTGACCCCAGGTTATAGCTTATTCTTCAATCTTACCATAACGCAATTATGGAACAAATACAAATGTTCCCCCCGTCCTTGGAAAAAGAATAAACGTGGATACAATGTGACGTTTACCCCTTGCTCAACGCTCCATTTCGGGGGCATTCACAGCTCCGCCAGCATGTACCCCACTGTGACATGACAGACTCCACACACACCGCTCCCTCACCCGTGGCCCCTCAGTGTGCTCTTTCCGAAACTCGGTGCTGGCTTTGGCCGCCTCCAAGTTTCCATCTAGATTCAGCCTGCTTCTCTCAGGCTGCGTTTTCCTCATTCACCAAAGATGAAGCGAGGCTCTGGGTCCTTGGGCTTCAGCCCGCAGTTCGGGTCTGACGTTCCCGTGTCCTCGGAAAGAGCTCCTGCATCAGCTTTTCACCGGCAGAGCCTCAGCACCGAATACGTCAGAGTGGGCGCAGGGCCTCCCTCAGCGCGTGAGGGGCAGGGCGCGTTGGCCCTGTGCATCCCGTCCGTCCTGTCCCCGGGACAAGCCCCTCCGCCCTTCGAATTCCACGGAGGGGGGCGGGGGGGGGAGGGGAGCAGGAGCTGTCAGAGCCACTCTGAGGGAAGCCTGGAGACACATGAGTTGTACAGACATGACCTAGAACCAAACTCTCATTTTCAGAGTACAAGCTCTCAGTTAGGCAAATCCAGATGGAAATAAAGATTTAAAAATCACCCCCTTCCTTCAGTTAACAATGAAAATCCTGTAAACAGGGCGCCGGGATCGATCACCTTCCTTCAACCCCAGGAGGGCCCCAGGGGACCCTGACCATCCCACTGCGAGGCCGGAACATCCTCTCCCTCTAACAGGGCCTGTCGGGACGCACAGCCACGGAACACGCCTCGCCTCGCGGCTGGAGGGGCGCAGTCGTAGGGAGTCACAAAAAATAGGGAAGCTCACGCACTCGCCTTGGCCACTTCCCCGTCTGAGGGAGGGCGCATCGGCACGCGCGGCTCCCTGCCAGGAGGGAAAAGGTGTGTCCACGCCACCGCCACGGGCAGAGAGTGACACAGGCGATTAGAAAACCCGGGAGGACGAGGATATATATCCTGACCTGACGCTGAGCTTCACCCAGGCGAAAGCCAGGCCTGGCAGCCTTCCCGGACGGACGAGAAGCCACAGGTGAAAAACGCAGCTGCAGGTAAGTCGGAGAGAGTGAGAGAGCTAGAGCGCTGGGCGGCAGGACACGGAGTGCCACCTGCGGAGGGACCTCGGGCGGCTTCCTGCTGTCGCTGGACCCCAGGTGCTCCTCGGTGACCTGCCTCGCTGTGTGCAGGTGACCATGGCTCTGGGCCGGCAGCTCTCTCTGCCCCAGCAGGGCCTGAGCAGGAGCGTCTGACACCTCCTGTGAGAGAAGCTGCCCGGCAAGCGCTTGGGGTTCGGTCAGAGGGAAGGAGCTGTGGGGACAGGTCCCACCGCGGAGGCCCTGCCGTGGGGCTTACACGGGACCCAGACTTCCCTCTTTGGGGGGTTGTGGGGTTTTCTGCGGGGCCTGTCTTCTTTTTAAAGTAAGTATAGCTTTTCTGACCCGCACGCCCGCTGGCTGAAACCAGCTCAACGGTTGTCTTGGGAGAATGTGAGCCCTGAGGCCAGAGGTTTTGCCTCTGGTGAGCAGTATGATGTCCTGTCTGTGTTCATAAAGGACTGTCTGTGAAACAGGCTGCACATCAGTGAAGGAGCGTCACTGCAGTAGGAGTCACCCACCCATGCCAGCGGCTTGCCAGTAATGAGCAGCCAGGAGGGGTTAAGCTTACCTTGCTTCATGCTCATGAGATGATAATAAAACTGGGCACGATTCTTTAAAAATACTTTTACCCCCCAATTATCATGAAATTAATGACACAATTTACTTTTACCCTCCCTGTGCCCTAGTTTCCCCATCTGTTCAGAGTGATCTGGAGGAGGAGGAGGGCCTCAGGGCATGGGAAGCAGGAGGGTGGCCCTGGCCCGAGGCAGGTGCTGCAGACACGCATTTGCGCTCACCATGACCACCCCCCCCCCCCCCCCCACTACAGAATAACAGTCTGGTAGGGACGGTGGTGAAAGGGCAGAGCTGGGCCTCAGACGCGTTTTCTATTGCTGTGTAAACAACTGCCGCGCACTCAGTGGGGTTCACGCCCCACCCACCGATGAGCTTCACATTGATGGGGGGTGTGCGTCCTGCTCCAGCTGGGATGAGGGTTGGACTCAGACTGACAGCACCGCTCGAGGGTCCTTTTGCTAATGCGCACTCTGCTGAAAGAGATCTGCGCTGTCATCTACCTGGGAGAAACACATTCATAGCCTCAGGGCTTCCTCTCCCGGGCGCTGGCGCCTCCCACCTCAACAGGGAAACCAAATGCTGTTTTAAATCTCCAGG